CTTGTCAACAAATTTTTGTGCCCCATTCAACTGAAAATATTTGGTTGTGCCCCCCCCTTTCCCCCTGAAACTGTGAAATTGCATCCTATGGATCTTGAAAAAAATGAGAATAAAGCCTATAAGAGAATTTATTAGTAAACAAGTTAAACTTCACAACCTCTGCGCCGAGGTGATATCACCGGTACGTTTGAACGATCAAGACAAGCACACTCTTTGTTTCAATACATGCGGGAGAAAAAATATGTGTACAGACGCGCGTCGACATTATATCTCTCTAACGAGACCGTAGCTCTGCAGTCTTTACTTTTTAATCTGAATTTGAAACACTTTTTTGTTTTGCATTTAAAGTATTGTGTAAGTTGATGTTTTCTGAACATATACCAGGCTTTACTGAAATCATACCTGCCTACCCCTCTGTTGAAGCGGTGTAATCAAGTAATCTAAACCCTCAGGTTGAAGAATTTCAGGGACAAAGGTGTAGTTCTTTATATTTTTTCCTATTTTCATGTCTTTGTGATTATATATAATCTAAACCAACTTACTTTAGTCTATGTTATATATCATATAATAAATGACGTAAAAGTTATTTTCAAATGATTTTTTGATATAAATTCTATATTCTGTAAAACATCACCATTCTTACATCCCAACATGTCTTACACTTATAGCATCGTAGATAAATCATTTTCCGTATTGTCCCTAACAAAAAATACTATAGTAAACTATAGTTAACTATAGTTTTCACTATAGTAAATCAAAGTTCCAAAGTTTTCACTATAGTAAATCAAAATTCCAAAGTTTTCACTATAGTAAATCAAAGTTCCAAAGTTTTCACTATAGTAAATCAAAGTTCCAAATTTTTTACTATAGTAAATCAAAGTTCTAAAGTTTCTACTATAGTAAATCAAAGTTCCAAAGTTTTCACTATAGTAAATCAAAGTTCCAAAGTTTTTACTATAGTAAATCAAAGTTCCTAAGTTTTTACTATAGTTAATTAAAGTTTCAAAGTTTTCCCTATACTTAATCAAAGTTTCAAAGTTTTTTCGTTTGTTTAACAACTTATGTATTTTTATTAATTTTTTTTATTATTATTTAGCCGTTTTAAGAGAGAGTTGGATATGGGGTTGGTTGGGGCTGGTTTTTGTTGTACATCTTCATTTTAAATATACAAAGTAGTTAATTCAAATGCAATATTTATATTTATAAATTAAAAAAAAAAATACATGTTGACTGAAGTTGATGAAGCAGATATTTTGATTCTAAATGACACAATTTTTTTTTATAATATATTATTTTTATTCCATAAATAAGACTAACGTTACATCTGCATAACATTAAAATTGAACACATTGAAATAAATAATTTATTGCTTATTTATCGGCGCAAGCGACAACCTTTACATTAAAATTCATATCTTGTACATTATTCTTTTAGGGGAGGGGTCGGGTTTTTAAAATGTTCTCTAAAGCTTTTATGAATCTTAAACTTAAAATATCATAAAATGTAAAGAATGGGAATCAAAAACATAATTCCACGGGATTTATCGTACTTAATCAAAGTTCCAAAGTTTTTACTACAGTAAATCAAAGTTCCAAAGTTTTTCATATAGTAAATCAAAGTTCCAAAGTTTTTACTTTGGTACTATAGTTAACTATATCGTAAACTATAGTATTTTTATTCTTTGTTAGGGGTGTTCTTAATATTGTTTTCATTGTACATGCCCCCCCCCCCCTCTAGGGCCGTTGATTGGTGAATAAACATAATAATATATATACACTGTACATCGCGTCCTTAAGCTCTTTTCTATGCACAGTAAACTCAAAAGTAGTCGTTCGTAAAAAAAAAATCTGAATAAAATTTTATAAAGTATGATATTTAAAAGCGTAAAATTGATTTCATAATGGCAAAATAACGTAATTTAGTTATAAAAAGGGATAGGAATCTGTCAAATGCGGAAGGGAAAGCAGGCCTGTGAAATCAAACCAAAATTGTGGGAGGAGCAGCATTTTGAAATATTTTTCACAGAATATTTCTATTTTCTGTAGACATGGCAACATCATTTACCATATCTTGGACTGATTAATTCAGTGATGCCTGGTTGTATCCCAGGTTTATTGAAATCTGACCGAAGCTGTTGGACGAGTAGCATTCTTTTTTTCAATTGTAGGAATTAAGGCTGGACTTCGGCCTGGATAGCTCCTGACTAGTAATGCAGGGGTCCCGGGTTCGATTCCCGGTCCAGCCACATGTTATTTTCAGTATATATGAATTTTCAATGTTTAGTCATTCCTCCTTTCCATACTACAGATGGTGCCGTGGCCTACCTTGTTCAGGCAATATAATATATAATTAATGTGAAGTCCTGACAAGGTGAACTTGTGTTGTGTCTCCGGGGCCAAAGACTAGTATTTAAAGAGGGGGATATGTAGGAATTTAGGCTGGAGTGAGGACATCGGCCTGGATAGCTCAGTGATTAGAGCACCTGACTAGTAATGCAGGGGTCCCAGGTTCGATTCCCGGTCCAGCAACGTTTTTCAATATATATGTCTTTATGAATTTTCAATGTTTACTCATTCCTCCTTTCCATACTACACAATATTGAGATACCTGCATTAAAAGAGCATGGTTATTATTCGATTGTATGAATATTTATTATCATGACCTGGAATAGCCACGTGACACCGCTTAGATAAATAGATACATAAAACATATGTTGATTTACAATCAGCAATACATGTACATGTATACCTAACTTCAGAGGTCCTAATAACATACATATGTATTGAAATTAAAACTTGTGGATTTTTTTAAATTTGGGTCTGGGTCTTATCCAGATTCTCACAAACATAATCACATGTACAGTAATTAATTCTTTTGTTACATGTAAAATCAACGCCTAAGACATAGCACAAAGAATGAATCTAGGTTCATATAAATCTAATTCCTCAATCTCCTTAACCTACTAGTGTATATGTAATTATACCAAAATACAAAGAAAAAAGATAAAAGGGATGGTAAGTTCTACACCAAGAACCTTAAAGTTAAGATCACTTATCACGAATAAAGCACACAATGACAGAAAAGTACAGTGAAATCGGCCTTTGTTACAGCTGATGAGTTTATTTACTTGAGGAAATCTGTTGGATGTTATCAGCTGTTGTATTGTGTACTAGACAGCTGTTCAGCAAACATAACCACAAGTATAGACAGCACACACTGTGGTACAAGTCTCATACTCTCAACAAGGATCAATGTCTTCTCAATCTGTAAGAAATCTGCTCTATGTGTGATTCACAGTAATGTAAGATATACTTTGTATGCTTCATACCATGCTTTAACAAGAAGGAAAAGTCCCATAAAACTCTAAGAAAATTGATATGGATGTACATGTACACCTGCATCACTTGATTAGTGAAATAAAAATATAATAAACATCATTGATATCCTTTGGTCAGTAAGGGTGAATATTTGTAACATTTTGAAGACAAGCACCAATAGATATTAACATTCTAAAAGCAGCACTATCATTCCCAATCCCATCTTCTCAAACTTTTCAGCAAGCTCAGAAAAACACATTGAATGTATTTACATCACTGGTCATTAAAATTTTAAGCAAAATGGAGTTGCTTCCTATTTATTAAAGTACTGGATAGACAGAGTTGAGTGTTCTTTCTGTAGTATATATTAGGTAATTTTTTTACATTCAATGAAGTTAAGTTCCAGACTCTACAGATAAGAGGTTCCCCTACATTTATTTCATCATTTATGAAAAGAAGGATTAAGGTGGATGCCTACATAACACATTCAAGGTTATTTTTCCACTAAAGGCCAGAGAAGTTGTGGGTCCAACATTCCACTGCTGTGGTAGCTAATCCAACCCCCCCCCCCCCCCAAAAAAAAGCAGGCTGTATGTGGTCAATTCACTTAAGAACCCTCTCTACACTGCACACTAAAGAGTTCTGATTCTATTGTATTTTTATGCAGTTAGAGTGATCTGCCCTTAGATCTAAATTCCAATAAATGGAAATTTACAGTATATTACTCAATTTGTAATCAATTCAAGTATTCTTTACATTTTAAAAGGCCAAGATAAATTAACTGAACATGTATTTTCTCCATGGAAGAAAACAACAGTGATTTCTGTTCTCTGATACTGTGTTGTGTTTTAACATTTTTCCTGGTGGTAAATGCCACATTCCATATATTGAATAAAAAGAGAAGATCAAACTTTACACCAGTTATTCAATATAATTTTCTTGATTTCCAAAAAGCATTTTGCAATGGTGTAGAGAGGGTCCTAAAATACTGATAATTCTCTCCTTTTTTTAAATTCTTTATTTTAATCTTTTTAATGACTAAAGAGCAAGAGCCACTTAGGGCCTTTTTTTGCCCTGTGAATTTCTGAAAATTCAAAACTGTATAGTTTTAGTTTACAAGGCAATAAATAAATGCCTGAGCACTTGGTGAATGAATATCTACTGAAAATGACGTAATTTTCTTTCTAGTCAATGCATTATGACATCATGAATTGCGTCATTATTCACATATCCTGAATATTTCTTCAAAAATCGACAAAATATGATGCCATTTTTCAATATTTCATATACAGCACAACCTCCGATCCAAAATGTGTAAATATATTATAAAAGAACTTTTAATGAAGATTATAAAACATATTTTAATTCTTGGATCAAGGGTTGTGCTCATATTTTAATTCTTTGCTGAAGGTTCTCAAAAACACCTCTTTTCTGCAAATTTCAATGACATTGCAATTTCACACAACCTGTTTTTCAATGCCTGGACTCTTCAAAGGAAATTCTGTTATATAAACTGAAAGCACTAAGTCTCTACTTTATATTAATGTTGAAAATGGTACACGGGGTATTAGTCAATAAATTGGTATATCTACAGGGCCATTTTATGCATAAAGTGAACTTAGCTCTTTGTAATGCTATTTTCTCTCTTTTTGTAAATTAATAGCAATTAAATTAATGTTAAAATTGTGAAATATTCTTTACTGCAATTGAGTGCATTTCAGAATTAGTAAACAAAGATTACAGTCAGACTTAGTTTTCTTACATGCACGTATATGATTTCTTGGAAACACCACTACATTTTTCACTGAGGACCGATTTTTTTTTTCTTGGGAAGTCTGACCTGTTGGTTACTCATGTAAAGGTTGAAAAATAAATCCCCGTTTAACACAACTAAGATAGCAATTCTTACATAGTCTGTCTTTGATCTATAGAACAAAACCATGCTTTCCCTGCCATTTTATGTAAGATAGTAAATTTGACTTTGCTTCTCTGGACATAAGGGTTTGTTTAACTATTTCCACTTGAGTGTACTACTCCTTTAAATTTCTGACACAAAAAATAAATTTCTCTGGAATCATCTCGACTCGCTTTTGGTTTGACAAGTTTTACTGAGGAAAATAGTTCCTTCATTACATCACTGAGTTCATCACATCCACTCCCCTGCCAAAGTTTCACCAGAACTGTACCATTAGTCACCAACTGATTCACAGAGAAATGTAAAACTTTTGACACCAATGATACAAGAAGTCTTCCATCAAACTCCTTCATACCTGATGCATTGGGAGCCATGTCACTAAGTATCACATCTGCCTTTCTGCCATCAGAATTCTGGATGATTTTATCCTGACAGTCTTGAGATGTGAAGTCAGTACAGTCTAGGATGCAAGCTCCTAGAATTTTACTGATAGGCAACAAATCTATACTGATCACTTTTCCTTTGGGGGAGTTGTTATCTGTATTGATAATATGTATAATTGTTAAAATTATTTTAATTTTTTTTAATTCAAAAGTAGCATAAATCTTGTAACAGAATGAGGGTAAGTTTGAGAGTTTTCTTAGACAGCTGTTAGATAGGACCCAACAGGCATGACAAACATACAGGCATTATACTGTTATAAGTGGACTGACAGACTGCAAATTAACCGTTTTACTGCACATAGTTTTTCTATTGAAAATATGAGGCTTTATGACATATTATTAAAACTTATTATTAGATTTTTATCATCCATAAACATGATAAAACTACACCTATAACTTATAATTACAAAAAGAGAAATCACAATATTATATTCCTGTAGTAAGATACAAAAAATATCATACCTAAGCCTGCTGCATTTGTTCTTTGACAGACCACCTGTGTCCAAGATCCAGGGGCAGCCCCAATATCTATAACTAGTTGTCCAGGTCTAAGAATTCTATACTTATCATCTATTTCTAAAAGTTTAAATGCACTTCTACATCGCCAATTTTCCGCTCTTGCCATTTTTACGTATATGTCACTTTGTTGTCGTTGAAGCCATTTTCGTGAACTTGTCCCTTTCATTCTACATCCAAAGTTCTGCGAGCATAATCGATAAAGCCTTCGATATTTTGTTGTGTTCATGATCAGCGCCATTTATTTCAGGAAATCCCCTTTCTTAAAATAGTACATTACAGGAACGCAAGCATTTTTATGCATTGCTAATTTCAATTGCAGCTTTCTGAAATTTAAAAAAAAAACAAACTTTTTTTTTAATTATTCGCTTTTCTTCATTGTATAAATAAATTTATTATTTCTCCTGGAACAAATATTGTGTCGTTTCATCATTTCGAGGGATTAGTGTATTTCTAGTAACCCGAGAGGACCAGGTCCCCTCAATCGAGTCTTCTCGGGTCTTTCGGCAAGCTCAGTAAAACACCTCGAGGTTGTTTTCCGCTTGTCGGAAAGGCCCGAGAAGTTGCGATTGCCCCTTAAAATCAGTATTTTTGACGAAGATGGAACATTTGTATTATAAGTCTCCGGAAAATCAGGAGAATCAGTGGCGGATTCAGGAATTTCATAACGCGGGAGGGGGGGGGGGGTATCATTTTATCAATTTATGTACTAAACTGAAGGTAAATGCTTGCTATACAAACAAAATTAAAAAAAAAATCAAACCGGGGGGGGGGGGGGCGCCCGGCCCACCGGCGCTGGATCCGCCTTTGAGAATATGGATCACAACACTCATGTAACATATTTTATGAGAAATAATAACGTATAATTGCAAGTCAATCAATATTTAAGGGTCAGTTGGTTCAATCAATTGGAATTCACCCTCTCTCTCTCTCTCTCTCTCTCTCTCTCTTCCGTCACCTCTTTCTAGACTTCCTAGTAAAAAAAAAAACTTTTATCACTTTATATTTACATCCACTAAATATTTTCTCTTTTATTTCTAAAGAAAACCATTGCCGTTTATCAGTTCGTGAACAACACTAGGCATTTCAGCTTGACAGATTTCTTGATCAGCGGCTCGTCTATCAATGAAACGTACAATGACGTACATATCAATAATACAATAATTAATCTTTTTTATCCTACTTTAATTCCACCCTCCTGTGATGTCATAGGTTTTAGCAAAAACTGTTATTAATTTAAATTCATACCCAATAGAAAAATATCTTTCGAAAGAATGTTTTTCAGTGGGTGTAATGAAAAATATTGTAAAGTAAAAGAGTTAAAAAATTGAATATTTTCCTTATTTAATCAATATTGTTTAATCCTTAAAAAATGTTGCTAAGGGCAGTAACTCCTGCTGATGTATCTTCATTCAGGCATTTTCTACATTGTACTTCAAATGTAAAATGGTTTCCCTGATGTTCACAATTCAACATCTTTATAAAGTAACAATAGTTTTGGAACTTTCAGTATCAGAATTATGTATTTGAACCAGTTTTTACATAATTTTTATAATACTGTTTACTAAAATGTACAATTTTTTATGCTGACATATACTTCTTGATTATGTATGTCTTACGTCTTAAAAAATATGGCAACATATACATTTTTGGTGATTATTAATTAATTTAAACTATATTCAGTGAAAATAAATGCAGTTTTTCTATTTTGAACCCATAAATTCTTGATGGTGGAAATACCTTAAATGATTATTTATACAGATAAAATATAAACAATAAAATGTCTTTCTTTGGTTGTTAGTACGCGGCTTGGCCAAGATCAGGTGCCCATTTCCACCTGAATGATGTTATATAGATATAACTCTTTACAGTTACATCTAATCTAAATATCTTTTGTTGCATTGCAAAGATCAGAAGGAGAGCTTTCCATTGATATATGATATCATATATATAGTATCTGCATCTTTGAAAAATCAACAGAAAAAGTCGAAGATTCATAATTTTTGAAGCGTTATGCTGTTGCACTTGATTTTTTACATTATAAAAAATGGTTAATTAAAATTATTTTGAATGAAACATTCCAAAATAAATATACATTATTACAGAGAAATCATTCTGGTTAAGTTTATTTTTTACAGAAAAGAAAAAGGATAAAAATTGTGGAAATTATGAATAAATTTGTGCAGATATACCTTTGTTATATAATTTAAGATTCATCAACGCTTGAATAAATGCGTAATTTCTAGCAAAATACGAGCAAATATAATGTGTTTAACACTTTTTATTTTACTTAAGAAGAAAAGTACTATGAGAAAAATTTAATGGTTATATGGTAAAATGTGTGTACATTTTTTATTTTTTCTTCCATACTGGTCTAATATTTTGTATAGTCCGTAGCCCCATATTTCATTATAGTTTGTGTTCAACAAAAGAATGTATAATTTATCATGCTCTTGTTTAATATTTTCACAGTTACCAGTGAAGTAAAAAAAAACAGTAATGAATAGCTTTTGCGCTAACATCAGAAGAAGTTATAGACGAATGATTGGTGTCCGTAGCCCTGTATAGTCCGTAGCCCTAATATTACAACTTTCAGAAAAAGTCATATACATTATTGATACAATATCTACAATACAATAATATGTTTATTCGAACAAATGCAATGTTTTAAAATACAAATACCACTGTAATTAAAGATAAAGTGTCTGAAAATTAATATTTTTCAACTAAAGGCTTGCTTCTGTAGTCTGTCCTGTTATGTTTGTGATCACAACATATTTTTAAATATACATGATAAAGTTTTCCTTCTTGTGATACATATTATCAATCCATTTAGAATAATTAGCATTGGAATATCTTAAAAGAATATTTGGCCACACAAATCCTACTTACAAAAGGGCTAGACTCTACAAATAAATTAAGCAAATTTACAGACCATATAACCGTACTTCTGTATTAGCAAGAGATTTTTCCCTGCCTGTATCTACTGCAAAATGGGCTTCAATGGTTTAGTAGTTCTCGTCAACCAGTCTAAACATCCCATAGTGGGATTTGATCCCAAAACATAAGGATCAACTCCTTACTTTTCAATTAAGTACAAAGTGAGACCTTCACACTTATAATTGCTCCACCCAATCTACTTGTCACTGAATTGTAAAATTTAGAATATAAAACATTGATTCTTTATGGATAAATATTGTATTATTATTATTTTTTTTTTACTTCAAATGGTCAATCATGTTTTGTAATTTTTTTATGAATATGATCATGATCATAAATTATATACTGATACACCTTTTGAATGACCATCTTGAGCTGTTTGTATTACATTAAGATAAAATCGAAAAAAAATATAAAGCAATATAGTCTGTAACACCCCTCCCCCCCCCCCCACTGCCCCCGAAAAAAAAAATCATGCCTTGGTTTAATTACACCTTCTGTTGCTTTTATTCATCATAGTTTGAACACCAATAATGCTTTAATTAGTTGAACTGGAATTACATTTGGCATTGAAAATACACAGTACATTAGACAACTGATCTTTAAACATGATATTATAAATACTCAAACTAAGTGATGTGAACTGTTATAGAAAACCAAATGATAAAAAAAATGCCCAAAATTTAATTTTCTTTAAGATGATTGTCCACAATAGAGATGTTTAATGGTATAGTCCGTAGCCCCAGTGCTCACATGAAATTCATCCTTCTTAGATGCTAAATTAAAGATCATTCTTGGTCTTTAGATGGTCTTAGACTATATTTTGTTATCAAAACACTAATTATACATGTAATTCTGACATGTACTATTTCGTTCCGAAAATTCATATTTTACTCGTATTGGGAATTTATAGGAAGTTTTTGTTTTATTATGTTAAATTTTACAGGATTTTTGTATAAATTGATTTAATATCTAAATTAAAGCATTTATTAAACACATGTGAACTCCAAGATGATAATTTTAACAAATATTTACTGATACAAGCAACTATTTTTCTATGGTCTATCATTAAATGAAAAATACTCTCTGTATAGTCCGTAGCCCTAGGTCTCAAAATAGTCAACCAAAAAATATCTGACACAGTTTTTCTCTGAGTATTACCAAGTAAGTTTGAAATTTTCATTCCCATATACAGTTTCTTTAGAAAAATTAAAAGTACTTCAATGTATTTTTTCTTCAAATGTCCAAATATTAAGAGTAGAAAAACTCTCCAAGATTAACAAATTTACCCATGTCCTTTATATACTGTAACAATTTAATGGAAATGAGTTATGTGATTTTTTTTTTTGCTCAGACAATATTTTATGAAGAGTATAAATTTGATTTATACTTTTTTTGTTCAGTTGAATATGATAAAGATACATGTTATGCCAGAATATGTATAGTCCGTAGCCCACTTGGGTCTCTATTATAGTAAGAGTGAAATCTTTTTAACCGCTTGACAGAAATGGACAGAAATTTCAGACAATCTGAAATAAGGATGTAGTGTTACATAGAACATACTTATAATACATTTCATTAGACTTCATTTTTTTGTTAATCTGCAACCAACATGGGCACCTGATCTTGGCCAAGCCGACGGGAATTAAAGTCGCAGCTATTGCAGAAAATTTTTTTACATTACGCGGGTTGTGTATTTTTTATTTCTGCAACAGCTGCGACATTAATTCCCGTACTACATGTAACAACCAAAGAAAGCATTTTATTGTTTAAATTAACACGAGAGAGTCAGGTTTAATATATTCCTTCCAAAGATGATCGAGTGAATTTCTAATTAACTCAGGCAATTATATCGGGAGGGGAGGAGATCCAAACGTAACCTTTTACTTTTGAAAATGTTCATTGAGAGGTCCGTCCCCCCCCCCCCCCCCCACTTTTTGTTGCAGTATCTTCCCATGTTAATGTATTCATTCATATTTAGATATCTTGTCGACGTTTTATCAATTAACAATATTTATTCCCCTAAACTCAAAATAGTACTGAAAGACAGAGTCTGACACACCTGTTTCATATTTGGATTTTTTTTTACTAAAGAGAGACAAAGGCAAACTTAAAAGTGGGCTTAATTTATGAAAAATGCAATCCTGCGTGCGATCAATTTCTAAACCAAGACAGGCTACTGGCAAATAATGTTGCAAGGATCTCAACAATCCCATTTAAAGTTAATATTTCGCGAATTCTATGGTCGTTACAATGACCTTGTTTGCAAGTACAACATTGTGTTAGGTTGAATA